CCAGTGGGGGCGGGGGGTGAAAGGGGGGGGCAGCCAGGGTGAGGGGCTACAGGAGGTTGGCCTCCAGCCCCACCCCTCGATGGGGCCGATTTGCTGGCCATAGTGGGCGTCATAGCGACTGGTCATTCTGGTTGTTACGGTGTTATGGCCACTGGCTTTTTATATATATAGATGTGCATAGCCCATGGACACAGATAGCAGTGTAGTGAAGGCCTGGGGCAAGGTGGGAGCTGGTAGAGGGGGTAATAGGGGTGGGGTGGAATGGGGGACATCTGTAATACTGTCAATAATAAGAAAATAAAACAAATTTTTTTTTATATATTTTATTGATTTTTTACAGAGAGGAAGAGAGAGAGACAGAGAGTCAGAAACATCGACGATGAGAGAAACATCGATCAGCTGCCTCCCGCACAACCCCCACCGAGGGTGTGCCCGCAACCCAGGCACACGCCCCCGACCGGAATCGACCCCGGGACCTTTCAGTCCGCAGGCCGACGCTCCATCCACTGAGCCAAACCGGTTTTGGCTAAAACAATTTTTTTAAAAAACCCAGAGCAGCCCTAGCCAGTTTGACTCAGTTGATAGAACGTCAGCTGGTGGACTAAAGGGTCTCAGATTCCATTCCATTCAAGGGCACGTACCTCAGTTGCAGGCTCGATCCCTGGCCTAGTCAGGGCATGTGTGAGAAGCAACCAATCAACGTGTTTCTCTCACATTGATGTTTCTCTCACTTTGTCTCTCCCCCTCACTTTCACTCTCTCTAAAAATAAATAAACAAACAAATAAAATAAACAGAACAACAGATTTATCAAGTCTCTGCACGACATGATTCTTACCATAAAATTCACCCATTTAAATATACAATTAAATAATTTTTTAATTTATGAAGTGGTGCAACAACCACCTGGTTTGCACTAAGCAATCTGATTTAAGAGCTTTTCCATGACCCCTAAGAAAAGCCTTGTGCATGCTGCCACAGTCTTTAAAGTGTCCTTCAGAGGGGAGCAGTGAGAAGGAGCCACTGTGCCGTGCCCAGGGAAGGGCCAAAGCACACATGTGCAGCATTGAGCCTGCTTGGGGTCAGGCAGCAGCCTGTCACACCATCTAGCTCTTCCCTTCCCTCAACCCCATGCACACACCAACATACTCATGACCAGTTAGCTTCCCGGGTGAATTCCAGTAAAGGGAAAGGACACACTGACCAGCAGAGCAGCACAGACAGGTCTTCAGGCCTCTGTAGGTGCACTGGTCAAGGTGAGTTCATACACTGGTCTTCTGGTTTACACACTGTCTCCTACTGGTCTGAGAGCATTAGCTGGCTCCCCAAGAAACTGCACCTTGCAGCAAAGGTGAAAAATAGAACAGGAACCAGACCATAGTCCTTGGTGAACAGTACCTTGAAATTAGGGCTGAGTTGGGCTTTTTGCACAACCTCTCTCTTCCTTGTTGCTCTTTAATTGCAAATAATAACAACGCATCAGTCTGAATAGTTACCTGAAGGTGAGCTTGGATTTAAAGATGGCTTGTCCCTGCAGACCAGTATCCTCTCTCACAAACAGGTGGCTGTGGTTGCCCTGCAGTGGGGCTTTGTAGACATCGTACACTTCGCTGCCTAAGTGCAGGGACATGCTGCAAACCAGAATGAGGCGATGTTAGGGCGGCTGGTCAACCAGTCCTCCAGCTCCTGTGCTACCCTGACCGCTTCACTTAAAACACAGTGGAACTGCAGTGCCATGTCCTCATCCTGATTCCTCAGAACATATTGTAAATAACTAACCTACTTCCTTCCAAAGCAAACGGTGGTAAAAAACCATCTCCTTTCAGCTCAAAATATAGTTGTTTTGTCGTCTTCCCAATCTCTACCACTTCATTAGTAAATCAGTTTTTCAAAACACAGCAATGTATAATGTCTCATAGCTCAGATATGGAGCTAACAGTAGGTAGACACCATGAATTCGATCACATCTGGGACCACTGCTAAAGTCTTCCATCAGCCCCAGCCAGTTTTGCTCAGTGGATAGAGGATCAGCCTGTGGACTGAAGGGTCCCAGGTTCGATTCCGGTCAAGAGCACATGCCTGGGTTGTGGGCTCAATCCCCAGTAGGAGGGAGCATGCAGGAGGCAACGATCACTGATTCTCTCTCATCATTGATGTTTCTATCTCTCTCTCCCTTTCCCTTCCTGTCTGAAATCAATAAAAATCTATTTTAAAAAATATATAATAATAATAAAGTCTCCCACCAGTGCAGCACCATGATCGCAACCCTACTTATTTTTCTCAGCTTTCCCAGAGGCCTAGAGTTTGTTCATGGTTTAATGAGAGATGACCTCAAAATAAGGTCCTACCCAGAAAACTTCACACTCATCACAGGCTGCCCTCTGGGTGTTTTATCGCTCTTCAGGCGTTTGCGCTCACCTTCCATCTGACCACTTCACCATCCGAGTGTTGCTTTCTTTAATCTCATTTCCCTCTGTGTCTCGGCGTACCCTCCATCGCATAGTATTTTCTACCTGGCTCAGAACACAAAGGCATTAGGCACCGGTGTGACAAGCTGCATGTTCTTTTCTTTTCTTTTCTTTTTTTTGTTAATCTTTACCTGAGGTTATTTTTCCATTGATTTTTAGAGAGAGTGGAAAGGAGGGGGAGAGACAGAGAGAAACACAGATGCGAGAGAGACACATCGATTGGCTGCCTCCTGCACATGCCATGACCAGGGCTGTGATGGAGCCTGTAACTGAGATACCGTATTTGCCGGCGTATAAGATGATTTTTTGGCCCTGAAAAATATGCCTCCAAGTGGGGGGTCGTCTTATACGCCAGGTACACTTCAGATAGACTGCCCATAGTGCTTGCCCCGTGCCATAGTGGCCTCCCGATGCCCGCCCACTTCATTCCACATACCGTTCAGGCATCAGCAGCGCTGCTGGGTGTACGCTCGGCTGTTATGCGATTTTGCTGTTATGCGATTTTACCACACTCGCAAAATCGCACACAGCCGACCATACACCCAGTATGATAGCGCAAAATCACGAATCGCGATACCATACTGGGTGTATGGTTGGCTGTGTGCGATTTTGCGAGTGTGGTAAATTCGGGTTACCGTATATTTCTTTACATATGCATTGAAGATTCGCGATTTTGCGCTATCATGGTGCCTGTTAGAATGTTGAAGAGCTCGCACTTGCGCACTAGTGAGGTCCCAGGGAGATGCTGATGCAAGGGTGGACCAGACTGCTATAGTGACAGGGCGGGCAAACAGGGAGCAGGGACCAATCAAATCAGGCTTTGTATACAGCCAACAGCCAACCACAATACTGCCCCATTGTACAGTACAGCATAGAAAATGTCGACCAGTCAAACCCCTATCATCCCTATCATGGCACCAAGATGTCGTTGATGAACTTTTAATATCAGATGATGAAGAGGAGTTTGAAGGCTTTTAAGGTGAAACTGTCACGCCAGCAAACTTGCTAGGGACTTGCCCGGCACTTGCTCTCTCCCTCTATTTGTTATCTTACTTCTATCATTGACAGTCCCTCTAGGTTGTGGGCTGCTTGCCTGTGTTCCTGAGAAGCATCTACGGTACCAGTCTATAGAGTGTGTTTTCTTTAGTGAATTACCGGTATGTTTACCGGTAATAAACTTGCACTGTTTTATGTATATGTTTGATTACATACAGCCTTGTGACAGTTTTCCTGCATGTCATAAGCATTTGAATATAAATTAAAATGTTAAAATCAAATCTGATATTGTTTTACCTTTTATTTGGTGTGTGGAAGGTGTGCGGAAGAGGGGGTAATCTTATACGGCGAGTATATAGCAAACTCTGTATTTTGAGTGGAAATGTTAGGGGGTCGTCTTATACGCCCAGTCGTCTTATACGCCGGCAAATACGGTACATGCCCTTGACCGGGAATCAATTGAGCCCACAACCCAGGCATGTGCCCTTGACCCGAATTGAACTTGGGATCCTTCAGCCTGCAGGCCAATGCTCTATCCACTGAGCCAAGCTGGCTAGGGCACTGCATATGTTTTATTCCTTGAGTGACTTATGATCATGTGCCAAGAATCCATAGGGAGTGATAGAATAGGCTTCCAAAAATATAGCTGACTGGGCCACACTGCAACCCGCCTGCTACAAGTACCTAGAGATATTGGTTAAACTCACCACGCATTTTGTTTAAATCTTTTCTGAGCCCCAGCGCATAGCAGTGGAAGCAGAAGCTAAATGCGATGCAGGAAGGAGTTCTTATCAGTGCATCAAGAGCTTCAAGGGAGACAGGGTGAGGCTTTGGGTCCACCTGAGCAGGCAGTTAGAACCGGCATGTCTGCCTATTGCAGGGCCATCTGAAGGGCCTAGAATCCAATGAAAGGACTAAAAGAGTGCCCCCTAGTCTAATAAGACAACAAAGCTCTGGCCCTGGAAGGTTTGGCTCAGTGGATAGGGCGTCAGCTTGCGGACTGAAGGGTCTTGATTTCGATTCTGGTCAAGGGCACATGCCTGCGTTGCGGGTTCGATCCCCAGTAGGGAGTATGCAGGAGGCAACCAATCAATGATTCTCATCATTGATGTTTCTATCTTCCTCTCCCTTCTTCTCTGAAATCAATAAAAATATATTTAAAAAGCAAACAAACAAACAAAAGCTCTGGACATTCCATTAAATAACATTTTAAAAGAATAAACCATTAAATAATTAACAAATTAAAACTTGAGACTTGTGCTTTGTCCTAATTTTAATTCAAGTTTACCCTCCCCTTATGGTAGGAAACTCCAAGTCACAAAAGTAGCAAAAAAGTGGATCCTGCTCACGGCCACTACTAGAGCCCCTGGCAGAAGCACGTGGGAAACCCCTGTGAGAGCAATGGTAGTGCCTGGCCATCCCCAGAGGAACTGCCTAATGACGAGGTCCCTTTTTGTGCACAGTCTGAATTCCCATAAAGGGCCTGAGATAGTTCTATTGTGGGAAGTTGCTATGATCTGTCCACTGTGAAATGTGCAGGCAGTTCCATGGCCTCCCTACATTATCTTTATCCCAAAAGAGGTAGCCAACAATTTTCAAGAATTTTTGTCTTTTGTCAAAAAATTACAACTACAAATAAAAGATTAGAAAAGTGACAATTCTACAGGGATTAAAAAACGATGATGTACCTTCTCCCCTAAAAATATTCTGAAAAGGCATTTAATTCCTTGTTCTAAACTGTTATTTATTGATTGAATAGTAAATATGGAAGATCATTTCATAAGCTCAAGTATCAAGTTATTATCCCTGTATTCTACTTTATAAAAAGGAAAAACTTACCAAAAGAAAGGATTAAAGTAAACTTTACCTTTATTTTTAACCTGGTTCTCTCTTCCTCATCAAGCACTTTCTCAGCTGCAAATTCACCTTCATAATACTGAGGATCAAAAGGTCTAAAAATTGTTTTTAATGTCAATTAGCCATATTTAGTAGTGAATATGATTAATACTACAAATTATAATCTTAACAACATGCACCAATGTGTTTTTAAAAATCCAGTAGGCGAATCACTTCATGTAAAGGCATTTAACTTCAAGGAAATATAAAAATTACTGTACTCTCTTGAAATTTGATTTAAAAATATATTACATGAAATAAAATCCAAACGTGACTAAATAATTCAGTCTTCTTCGCTTGATAAAATGTCTTCTAATTACAGGTGACACATGATCTATCTCTCCATATTTTCAAAGAAAAGTGTGATGTTGCCTGGCCAGCGTGGCTCTGTGGTTGATCTCCTAGGAACCAGAAGATCAAGGTTCAATTCCCAGTCGGGGTACATGCCTGGGTTGTGGGCTCAATCCCCAGTGTGGGGCATGCAAGAGGCAGCCGATCAGTGATTCTCTCTCATCATTGCTGTTTCTATCTCTCTCCCCTCTCCCTTCCTCTCTGAAATCAATAAAAATATATTTTTAAAAAAGGTTAAAAAAAATCTCACATTAGAAACTCCATGTTAACATAAAAAAGCTCACACACCAGTAATCTATCATTTTTCTACCACAGAACATCATAAACTTATTTTTTCATTAGATGAGAAATCTCCCATCTTTGTGATTCGCCAACTCATGATAAATAAGAAAACACATTTACATTCTACATGTTTTCATTCAATATCTTGAGAAAAAGAAAACTTGAATCAGTTCTCTTACTTGGGTTCTATGCTGAGAAATTTGGGTAGCTTAACGAAATGCAATTTGTTTCCTAAATCAGATCTGAAGAAGGGAGTTTCCACTTCTATCCTGGTGTCAGAAATCGGCTCTTCCTCCTGCAGGTCCCAAGGCAATCCCCGCGCATGCTAGAGAAGAACCAGGATGTGAGAGCGTGAAGTGACACTGGAAATGCCCAGCTCGCCTCCCGCACCAGGCAGATGCAGGTTTGACACCAGTGTAGGGACAAAGCAGTCAGCAACCCCTCCAGACTTTTCCCTAAAGTTTCATCCTCTCTTCTCCTACCCCCACCACAACATTCACAAGAGTTAGTAGCCTGCGTTACCAGAAAGAAAAAAAAAGTCTATTTTGCTGACATATCGAGTTTGCATAAGATATTTAACAACAGAAGTGTGAAATTATGCAATCCCTCAAAGCTAAGTAACTATTACAATTGGCACAGGTTTGAGTAACTTTTAAATCAAAGGTTTTTAAATTTTGAGTCCTGACAGTCTAGCTTCTAAAGCTTGACATCAACCTCATTCTAAGCAGTTCCTTTTATGCCCCATCATATCCAGAAATTCTCAGCATAGCTAAGACAGTCACCCATTCATCAGCTGTTTCAGGCTGCTGTTCTTCTCCCTGTGCTCTCTCCACATGAAAGTCAGGGCCTCTGGAAATTCTCCCTTCGCTTTGAGCAGTGGGACAGTGGAGATTAGTGACCGTACTTACAACAGGCTGTCCTAGAACAGGTGGTTGACTGTCATCATCACTCTCGGAAGAAATATCATCTATGTTTCCAAACAGATCCATGGTTCCACTAGAAGCTTCCATGTTGGAGAGAAATGCACAGTTGAAATTTCTCTGAAAAATTCTTCAGATGGTTCTTAGCCTATCACTTCAACATATTCCCAAGATCCATAAACCAAATCTCGACAAACCTAACCTCAAACGGGCTCCCTCAGCTGGCCCTCAGAAGCCTGAGGAGAGTATCTATGGAGAAGGAAGGTGATAAATTTGGTGGAAAGCAAAGTTGTGACGGACACCTTTCAAGATACTTCTCAATTCCTGCCTCTGATATCCTTGCCCTTGTGTGGTCCCTCCAACACTGTCCTGGTTGGTCTGTGTGATCGATAGAATACAACCTCACTTCCAAGGCTAAGCCATGAACTTGTGGCTTTCTTAGGAAGCACAGGATCTTCAAACTGGGAGATTTCTTTTTGTTGTTGTTGTTGTTAATCCTCACCTGAGGACATTTTTTTCCATTGATTTTTAGAGAAAGTGGAGGATGATGGGAGGGGGAGAAAGAGAAACATCGACTGCTTTGCCTTCTGCACATGCACATGGGGCCAGGATCGAACCTGCAACCCAGGTATGTGCCCCTGACCAGGAATCCTTGGGTTTGCAAGCTGAGGCTCTAACTACTGAGCCTGCCAGCCAGGGCAAACTTGTGGCTTTTCTGCCTTGATTTCTCTTTTGGGTCACTGGCTTTAGAGAAAGCTAGCTGCCATGCTGCAAAGGCACTCAAGCTGCTATGGAGAGGCTGGTGAGAAACTGAGACCTCCTGCCAAGAGCCGGGGGAGCCGGCTTAGAAACAGATCCTCAGCCCCAGGCAAGCTATCAGATAATGCAGTCTCAGAATTATCCAATGTCTTTTAAAATATATATATTTTATTGATTTTTATCGAGAGGAAGGGAAAGGGAGAGGAATAGAGTGTTTGAAACATCGATGAGAGGAACATCAATCAGCTGCCTCCTGCACATCCCCCACTGGGGATGTGCCCGCAACCAAGGTACATGCCCTTGACCGGAATCGAACCTGGGACCTTTGAGTCTGCAGGCTGACACTCTATCCACTGAACCAATCCAGTCAGGGCTCCAATGTCTTGATTGCAGCCTCTTGAGAGACCCCAAGCCAGCACCACCCTACTGAGCCCGCCCTGACCCTCAGAAACTGTGAGGTATGTTAAATACTTATTATTTTTAGCTGGCCTCTCAAGGGAGGTAGCTGGAGAAGGTAAGGGGTGGTATGCAGGTCACATGAGATGTGTACCCCAACAATCCTATTTCCCTAAGTCTTTGGGTTCCCTTCACATAATTCCAGGGAACTTGGACATTTCAACTTCATTAAATGGAGGTAACCATTGAGTTTTCTTTCATTAACCAACCAAGCAGAGAGCCATGTCCTGTTGTATGTGCTAACACATCAAACTCAGAATATACAAGTGCACCCAGATCAGTAAATTTGGCCCAAACTAGTGTTCCAGTCTGTCCTTCATCTCATTATTAGACCCACTTCCACACATATTCCCCAGACTCTGCCTGTATTTATTAGCAAAATATTGTAGTTCTTTTGGTGCATAAGCTATTTCTAGTCAGTTTGTGCTTTCTTTGCTAAGTGATGAGATCCTAGTGATGGGTCACTGGTAAAAAGTGGGTCAGTTGGATGAGTCAAGAATGGAAACTGGCCCAGGTCTTGTTATCACAGTGTTTTCAAACAGAATAGGACAGTTTCCTCAGGACAGGGAGGCTGAGTGACTGGAAATTGAGGTTTTGAGCTTCATCTGAGTCCAGATTTCCTCATTAATAGTTTCCTTCTCCCCCAAATGCCCTTTCACACAAAGACCTGACGAGGCTGTGAATTCAGTTGACGGGGTAATTCTGCAGTCACATGATTAAATGCTGTTCGATTTTCAGTGACCTTAGCCCCTCCGACTGTAAATATGAGATTCCTTCAGGGCAGTCACGAAAGCACGCTGGTTCTCTGACCATGACTGGAGCTAAACATTTAAAAGACCTAAGCTGGTGCCTGGCCCGTGTTGCTCCGTTGGTCGAGTGTCATCCTGCACACCAAAAGGTTGCCAGTTCAATTCCCTGCCAGGGATTGTACGAAGGCAACCAGTAGATGTTTCTCATGTCTCTCTCTCTCTCTCTCTCTCTCTCTCTCTCTCTCTCTCTCTCTCTCTCCTCTCCTCTCCTCTCCTCATCTCTCCTCTCCTCTCCTCTCCTCTTCCCGCTCTCTAAGCATATCCTCAGGTGAGGATTAAAAAATAAATTAATTAATTAAAAAGACCTAAGCTTGTGATTTTGTTTCTGTAAGTGCCCTGGGGCACTTAGAAGTATCCACCCCACCCTAGCTGGTGTGGCTCAGTTGGTTCAGGGTTGTCCCATGCACTGAGAAGTTGCGGGTTCGATTCCCAGGTCAGGGCACATACCAGGGTGGCTGGCTTGATCCCCAGTGGGGGGCATGCAGGAGGCAGTCAATTGAGGTTTCTCTTTCATCATAGGTCTCCCCGTCCCCCGTCCTCCACCCCATTCCTGTCTCTAAGCATGTCCTTGGGTGAGGATTAAAAATAAATAATAACTAAAAAAAATAAAGAAGACCTAAGCTTGTGGTCATTTCGGGGACACTTAGAAGTATCCATCCCACACAGCAGACGTACAGCCCTCACTGCCACACAAGGGGAGCAGCCGCCTGAGCCTCAGCCAAGGGGGTAACCTGATGAGCAGCATCTGCTCCCCAGGGCTGAGGAGCCGAGTCCTGCGTGCAAACCCGCACCAACCTCCAAAAAGCTTCTCTGAGGATTCGTTTCCTCAGGCCCGAGCTGGGCAACAGGAAACATACCAGCTGCCTATACAGAAGTTACCTTAAAAAAATTATACTTAGGTTTCAAGTTGTCAATAACGTTACAAAAAGTATAAAAGGAGACGGCTAAGGGCTCACAGAAGTAGCAAATTCAGAGCGAAGAGGTGGGATTGCTAAACTGAGCTTGTGGGACGGAGCTTTACCTCAGCAAGGGTCCAGCTGCCGCTGGGTCTCTGAGGGAGCGGGGCAGAGCCGGCCTCCAGGTGTCAGCAACACTGCAGGCTGCAGGGGGCTCTGTGGGAGGAACTGCGCCTGTGGGGCCAAGGAGTGCTGCCCCCCAGAGACCTGCGAGGCAACAGGAAGCCCCCAGAAGGTCCCACCAACAAACAGGAAGAAGCAGTCTTTTCTTTCCTGTCTAGGCTTCCAGCCAGGCTTCTGTGGCGCCCCCTAACAGGGGGCTGCAGGCAGGGCTGGAACGTGATTGGCCCCAGCATCGCTAGGCATGGAGAGAAAGAAAAAGGAAACTGTTCCATGTTGCTTCTTGGGAAGATAGTCTACAGCAAAGGCGGTCAGTGCCTCAGCTCACAAAACCACCAGAACTATGTGACTCTCATAAAAATAGCCGTCTCCTAACAGTGGGTGTCAAGAACAGAGCCGATCAGCCCTGGCCAGTTGCTCAGTGGTTAGAGCGTCCGCCCACAGACTGAAGGGTTGCGGGCACATACCTGGGTTGCAGTTTGATCCCTGGCCCTGGTCGGGGTACATGCAGGAGGCAACCAATCAATGTGTCTCTTTCACATTGATGTTTTCTCTCTCTCTCTCTCTCTCTCTTCTCTCTCTCTCTCTTTTCTCTCTTCTCTCTCTCTCTCTCTCTCTCTCTCCCCCTCCCCTCCCCTCCTCCTTCCATTCTAAGAAGTCAAAGGAAAAAAATATCTTTGGGTGAGGACTGACAAAAAACAAAGGGCAGATGGGGGAGGCCTACCTTGAGATCATTCAATAAAGGTAGCCAGCAATTCTAAATACTATCAATGATAAAATGTTCTTTCCCAAAACAAAACTTGTTGCTTTAACTTTTTACACTTGCTGCAATTACAGTTGAATGTTGTTTTAATAATATATGTGTAATATTCAAATTAGCACATACAATTTATCTTTAAATAAAAATTGCATACACATTGAAGTTACTTTGGGAACTCTGGTGATACAATCAACCTCCCAACACCCAGGGATTCAGTCACATGTGTTTACTTAAAGAGTAGTTTCACAACAGTTCAGAATAATTCAAGCTCATTTTGGGTGCAGTTTATATTTTCGGTTCATGAAGGACTATGCATTTCTGTGTTTAAACAGTAAACAGCACAAAGATAAAAGTGAAGAAATAGAACTTGACTTCAATTCTGCCATTCTATGTGATTAGTTTTTAATTGTGTTTAAATATTTTTCCCACTGCAGACACTGAAAACTTCTAGAATTAATCTGGGAGGAAAGGAAGAGTTGAAATTTCTGGCATTGATTGTGAAACGAGATTTTATGAATTGCTATCAGTGTATCCTTATATATAACTTTTCCTAATAATGAGTATCTGGTGCTTTATAAGACTTTTTTGAAATTAAAATTAATGAAGTATTCTTTGATAAACTATGTGAAAATTGACAAATCTACCTATATTGAAAATGAATATGAATTTAAAAATTCAATTGTGCCCAGCTGATGTGGCTCAGTGGTTGAGCGTCAACCTATGAACCAGTAGGTCACGGGTTTGGTTCCTGGTCAGGGCACATGCCTGGGTTGCAGGTTCAATCTCCCTGGGTGGCGTGCAGGAGGCAGCCAATCAATGATTCTCTCTCCCTCTCCCTTCCTCTCTGAAATCAATAAAAATATATTTTAAAAAATTCAAGTGTCAGAAAATCACTGACAAATTTGTAAAAGATAAGTCTTGAAACAGAAATTGTAATTTTATTATTCACTACTGTGACAGGCTATTGTGTAGGTACACATTTTCCCCATTTTAAAAAATCGTATTATAACTAAACAATATTAAAACATTAATTTTTTCCTTAAAAACAAACAAAAAAAACGATGTTGCCTTGGAAGAGAGAGTCAGAATGAAGGCTCTTTAAAGCCATGAGAGGAGTTTCAACTTGATAGGAAAAACAGCGAAGGGACTGAAGGTTTCCGAGTTAGGAACGTGACTGACAGTGATTCAGAACCTTCTCCTGATGTCGCTTTTCTTCCTCTGTAACCACGTAGGCTTCCCACAACCACCACACGCAGACGGCACAACAGCAGTAGAAGGAAGTGGGGTGCAGTCCAGTCACAGGGGAAAGATTAGTGCATGTAGGAGAGCACTACAGAAAAGACACGTGTGGGGTGGATTTAAAACCTCTGCAAATTCTTTGCTAATTCCTACCATCAAGAGGTGTCAAACTCCCACTCTGTGAATATGGGCTTGCATCACTGACTTATTTCAAATGACCAGAATGTGGTGGATTTTGATGGGGCTTTTTAAAAAATATATATTTTATTGATTTTAGAGAGGGAGAGAGAGGGAGAGAGAGATAGAAACATCAATGATGAGAATCATTGATTGGCTGCCTCCTGCACACCCCTCCTGAGGATCAAGCCCGCAACCCAGGCATGTGCCCTTGGCCAGAATTGAACCTGGGACCCTTCAGTTCTCAGGCTGACACTCTATCCATTGAGCCAAACCAGCTAGGGCTTGATGGGACTGTGGATGCTAGTCATAAAAGGAGAAAGCAAGAAACGGTAACACAGCTTCCACCTGGCTCACGCCCTGGGGGACTCACCTGTGGAACTCAGCCACCATGTAGTGCGACAGCAGGGCCAGGACCAGGATGCGACAAGAGAGAAATCTAAGAGGTGCCAAAATCTCAGTGTTCAAGATAAGTAATATTGCAGCATTTCTCAAGTTCCATGCAAAACAAGACAAAAACAAAACACCATGAACAAAATACAGAATTTTAAAGAGAATCTAACCAGCTCTGCCCCTCTCCCTTGCCTTCCCCTAACCCCAGTCCTGCCACATCTGTCTTTTTTAAAGGCCTCACATATTTATTACTGAACCAACCTACTAGTGCAGAAACATATTAACAAAGAGGAAAATCATTCTTCAATAATTTCCCAATAATACATGCCCAACTGTCCAGATAGAGTGATCTTTTCAGTGATGTGGTAGATTGTAAGCAATCCGGACACGGAATAAACAGGTGAGCTACATCATGTGCAATCCCTTCTAGACCCCGCTTGGTTCTCCCCCGATGGCTCCTCCTGGAGTTGTACCTGATTTTATTGCCAGTTTCCACCGGAATCCACTGGGGAACGGGCCATTCTGCGTCTGTGTCTTGGCCAGGAACCGCTCAATCCTGAAAGTCCTGTGAGAAGACTTGGCAAGAGTCAACTGCACGCACCACCATGGCACAGAAAGAGCAGATCCTGTTTTTATGTAAAATGTTGACATTTTGTTCAGCATGGGGTTTTTGACATACGTTTCAATTTTTTAAAATGTTGCATTACATTATTAATCTTGATTACTACAGTAGGTAGGGATCCCTCAAAATTCATACCCACCCAGAACCTCAGAATGTGACTCTGGCAATAGGGTCTTAGAGATGTAATTGGTTAAGATGAGGTCACACTAGATTAGGGTTGGCCCTAAACCCGCTGACGGTTGTGCATCTGGGAGAGGGAGATCTGGAGATACAGAGACACAGAGCAGACACACAGGGAAATGTCATGTGAAGAAAGAGGCAGAGACTGGGACCAAGGGTAACTGGGAGTCCCCCCAAACCAGGACAGGGCAAGGAACCCGATTTGGGACTTCTAGACTCCAGAACAGTGCGAGAATACATTTCAGTGGTTTCAAGCTACCCAGCTGGTGGTACTATGTATTAGTTAGCCCTAGCAAACTAAGACATTTTTGTGCCCCTTTAAACTCTGTATGCCTAACTAGCCCCATCTGGCCCTGCCCAGGAGGCTTCCTTGTGGGGGATGGGAGGGGGTGCACCAGAGCAGCAGGAATTCACTATAACCTAAGACTCAAAAATTAGATAAATAAATATAAATATGAAAAAGAAAACCTAAGACTCAAGTTAATAAAATCAACTTGCTTTGGGAAAAGTCAATTTCTTAAATAGAGACTTGTCTTTAAAAAACATTTTATTACAATTAAAATTACAGAAAAGCAAATCAATTCATTTCAGTCAAAATAACTCATGTGCATGTGTACATCATATTTATAAGACAAACTATACAATAAAATATATAAATGTTTTCACACTTTGTACTTCAGTCATCATCTTCTTCCTCTTCGTCACTGATCACGTACTTCTTATGCTTCTTATTTGCTTTATCATCATCTTCTGCTTTTCTCTTTCCAGAAGGTTCACCTTCCTAAATAGACAAAAACATTTTCAATCTAAACATCAACAGAGACTATTTCTAGAAAGGTTTATCAAAGTAGCTCTGAGGTGAGTGACTCTATGAAAACTCAAAATCAAATAACTATTTTAAAAAGAACATTCACCAGGTGAATAAAAACGGTGGTCGGGGTCGTAACCGGTTTCCAAATCTACAAGTGCTAGAAGGCATTCAAAACAACTACACCGAGTAATTACACGTAAACTGTGAAAACACAGCCAGCTGAGGACTGGCCATGCCCCTGCCTTTCCATTGCTGTCATGTTTCCTCATGGCTCTTTCCTTTCCCAGTTTCTCCTCCTACCCATTTTTCTACCTTTGAAGTAATCTGGGTTTTCTAAAGTTTTTGCTGCTTACAAAATAAGGGAGGGTAAGAAGCTGTATTCTTCTCCTCTCCTATAACTTACACCCTGTTGGGGAGGGAAGGGAGCACTTTTTGTTCTGTGTTATCCATTCTACCTGCTACTTACTATAATACAGTGAGGGCGAACCTATGACACGCGTGTCAGAGGTGACACGCAAACTCATCTTTTTGGTTGATTTTTGTTAAATGGCATTTAAATATATAAAATAAATATCAAAAATCTAAATCTTTGCAACTATGGTTGCAAATATCAAGAAATTTCTATATGTGACACGGCACCACAGTTAAGTTAGGGTTTTTCAAAATGCTGACACGCCGAGCTCAAAAGGCTCGCCATCACTGTCCTAAACAGACAGCTCAGAGGCACTCACAGAGTTATAGATTTGTAATTGCCCAGCCTCGAAGAAGGCTACTTGATGGATCACAAGTTAAAATATCCTTTCTGAGAATACGAGGAATAAAGAGAAATCCCACAGCACTTCTCAATTTTTACTCTCAGTCTCTGCTTGCCAAGAAATAAAGCAGCATCTGCTCAAATAAGGATCCCCATTTGCCAACAGTTCAACACACTGTAAACACATCATTAAGATGTTTCCTACATAATTTATTTGTTTTATATATGCTGCAGAGTGATTTAATAATTTCTGTCCAATTACCTTCCATATCATGCCACTTCCAACAATGATTGAGAAATATTAAATGTTGTGATTAACAAATAATGCCAAGAATGAAATTCTGCTTCACATAAGAGCTTACAGAAGCTCAGCTCACAGAAGGCCCAAATGATCAAAATACATTAAAATCATGGATAACAGGAACATATGGTATTTCCTGGGTGACAGAACAATCTTTTGAATAACCCTCCCACTGGAAATAACAATGATGGAAAAGTATAAACAAATCAATGAGATGGCAAGAAAATAAAGTATAATCAGAGGCCAAAAATGAAGTGAAAGCAGGAACCCACAGAGATAAGCAGAGCACTAACACTGTCCTCCTTGAGCACATTTACCAAGTTCTGTGAACTTGAGCGTTAGTTGCTATGCCTCGCAGGGTGCTGAGGACTAGAGACAAAGGCAGAATAATAGCAGGCCCCAAAGCACTACATCTTTAGTGTAATGTGAACCAGAAACAAAGTTTGCAGGGGTCGGCAAACTTTTTTGGAAGAGGCCAAATAATAAATGTGTTGGCCTTTGTAAAACATACGGTTTCTGCTGCAACTACTCAACTCTGCCACTGTAACAGGAAAACATCTACAGATGACACACAAATAAATAAGCATGGGTAGGTTCTAATCAACCAGCCATATTAGGTAAGTGGGATATAATTTCCCAGCCCCTTACTTAATGAATGAAAGGAAGAAATTTTTCTAATCTCAAGCATCAAAATGAATTAGCATGGTATTAAAAAGAATTCTAGGAAAATTCAGAAATCATTCTTTCAGGTCATCTAAAAAGATCTTATTTCCAGAATATAATTTAAAGTGGGCCCAGGTAGCTGCTATCCAAGGCACTTGGGCAGAGGAAAATATAAATCAATTCTGGAGGAATCCATCAATCTAGGCCTTTAAATTTCTTAGTTCCTGTACTTTTTAATACTTTTTTTAATTGATTTTTTTTTTAAGAGAGAGGGGAAGGGAGATAGAGAGATAGAAATATCAATGAGAGCATCAATCAGCTGCCTCCTGCACGCCCCGCACTGGGGATCGAGCCCACAACCCAGACATGTGCCCTGACCAGGAAACAAACCAGCGACCTCCTGGTTCCTGGGTGGATGCTCAAGCACTGAGCAACACCAGCTGGGCAGTACCTATACTCTTATAATTTGAAAAGGATACTGTTAAGAATATAAGTTAAGTCCTGGCCAGTGTAGCTCAGTTGGTTGGAGCATCATCCCATACCCGGAAAGGTCACGGGTTCAATTCCTGGTCAGGGCGTGTGCAGGAGAGAGCCAATCTATGTTTCTCTCTCTTTGCCCCCTCTTCCTCTCACTCTAAGAATCAATGAGCATGTCCTTGGTGAGGATTAAAAAACAAATAAACAAGTAAAGGTTATATTTTAAAAAAAAAGAATATAAAATGTATTGTTACGCAATATTATTTCAAGCAGTATTTCATTGAAACAAAAAGAAATCAGTTTTTCTACCATCAGATTTCCATAACTTAAAAAAATATATTGAAAAGAAAAAGGGAAAAATAAATACACCCTCTGATCTCCCCACACTGAATGATTTCTAGTTCTCTAGTCGAGCCCTAGTATCTCAGGGCCATGTGTCTTCTCCCAGGCCTTTCCATCCACCAGGTATGCCACCCTGACCGGTATGCCCTACAAGAGAACACTTTCCTTAACACCCAGTGAAAGGTCTCCTCTGAGCAGCCTCCAACACCCATCCAAACAGGTGTCAGGCCCTCCCCTGGGACATCCCTTCCTGTGATTGCACTGGCTCACTGAGCTTCAGTGAAGTGTGGGGACATCTGTGTGCTCCTGGGCTGTGAGCTTGTCTTCATTCCAGAGCTGACTTGTAGGCACAGAGGAAACCCCTAAAATTGAATAAATTTGGTTTTACCTCATCACTGGTGAGTTTCTTTGCTTTGAGTAATCTTTGCGCCTTATCTTCTTCTGATCCGTCATCGCTGTCTGATGAATAGATCCTGGCTCGTTCCTCTGAAAGCAAAGGAATAAGGTGTTTGAGTGATTTTCAAAGACAGCTATCTATTCATTCCTGGACTTTTCTTCTGATGAGTATCTTTAATTCCTTCTGCACATTTTCCCAGAGGAAGCAAATAATTTAAAATGTTCTGATTTGAAGACAGATGTAAGTTTAGATATATTGTAATGAAGCACTTACCCTTTCAAAATACAAGAATGGTTCACATGACCACTTTCAATATTAAAGAGGCTGTGTGCTAGGTGACTAACGAAACAGACACCACTACTCTTCCGAATAAGCTATAAAGCCCAAGTCATTCTTTCATGGAGGGTAATTAAATAGTTCCAAAGTGAGCTCTGAAGATAGAAGAGGTGGTTTCCTGCTCCTGTAAAGACCTTTTGTTGCCAGGTAGACATTTTGAAAGAAGGTGTAGATGAGAGGTAATCTGTGATGTCCCAGCACAGGTGGACCTCGGGTGGGATAACAGCAGCCTGTTTCAGACCAACCCTCTCGCCTCAGAACCCAAAGCCTTCTTCCCCTTCTCCCCACTCGCTACCTGTCTAACTACTGGATAGAACTGCACGCTAATGAGCTGGTCTGATAGGTTTTAAATCTCTGGAACGGCAAACAACCAGAACAACTAGTGGCTATGACACACACCGTGGCAGCCAAGCAGCCTGATCCTGGCCCCGATCGGCCTCCAACACCTCAATCGGGGGCGGGGCCAACCAGCCAACCTCCCGAATCCCTTCCCCCCTGCAGGGCCAGCTGGACCCCACCCGTGCACAGGGCCTCTAGTGTTATATAATTCTCTCCCAAAAAGCAACCTCAATTTTTTGTGTTTATTTTGGTTTTATGTGGCTATTTCCACAACTGATCTTTTCTGTGGGAGATTAGCATTAACAAAAAAATAAAAGGTCCCTGTACTACAGTTCAGAACTAAATCACAGGTAGGAAGGAAGGAGCAAAGCGCACCAGAACAAACACAATCACTGCAAGGAAAGGAGGGGTTTATAGGACAGTCACAGAAGGGGAGATCTAGCTGTTCTTAAAATGTATCCCTCGACAGGGACAGATGAGGATGTGTGGTCACCCACGGTACCGCTTACATTGCACAGTCACTCCCGAAGCTCTGACAGCTAATTTGGAGAATTAAAGCCTCACTTTACAGATGTGGTGCCCACTATTCAGACGTGAAGTCACTTGCTCAAAGCTGAGTAGTAAAAACAAGAACAGCTGTTTTAGGCAATATTTATTTAGTACTTGGGATGTGCCAGGCACTGGGTGAAGTACTTTATATGTAGCAGATCCTTCAATTCTCAAAACAAGCTCGTGGTGTAAGTACTACTATTAATAGGTTGTTTTTTCATAGTTAGGTAACAGAAGGGAGGCATTATAACTTCCCAGAAGTCACCCAACTACAAAGTGGCAGAACGAGATTAGAGCAAGCAGGATCCTGAGTCCAGGCCAAGTCTCTGACCTCCAGGTTCAGTCTGCTCTTCAGCAGGTCATCTTCCCACCGGCTGTGGGGACACCTGAGTGCAGTATTGTGACGGAGGCAGATGCCTCCGGAGTCAAGTGACCCAGTTCAAGATCTCTTCACTTACCAACTGTGTTCTGAGGATCAAACA